CTTGTGTGCTGGTGGAGTCAGACTAGACCTTAAAATGCTGCAGTTAAAAAAACCCCAATCTATGCAAAACTCACATTTAGTGCATTTACCAGAACTTCTTGCATTGTGATCACTTTGAATCACGATGCTTACTTTTTGATTGAATTTCCAGTCCTATATTTCTGTGTCATTTATTGAGTTTTCATTGGCATCTCTAGCACCTGTGCATCAGGGAAGAGTTTATTTTTGCTCACTCAGTGGCTGAGTATAGAGCTCAGATTGCTTCATGGTTTCCATCTAAGACCTGATGTTCAAATCCCTGTAACACAAGAAAATTCTAATCATCCAGGTCAGGCTTTTTTGTGATAAGGATCTCTTGAACTGGTTGGTTTACAATCTCACTGTCAGAGTGGTGTGATTCAGACACCAACTCAGGCAGGAGTTATACAGTGAAATACTTTTCCAGTCCTGGTGAAAGAAAACAGTCCTACAACTGAGGTGCTCCAAAACCTGCAAAGTTTGAAGATGAGGCAGAGCAAGAACAGTTGCCAAGGGAAGGTATAAGTCTGTGAGCAGCCAGCACTCCTTAGCTGAAGACCCAGGGGACTGAAGCTCAGTGTCTCCAACCATGGGCTGCCTCATCAGCCTCCTCTGTGCCGACCACAAAATCAGCAGAAAATTACAGTCACTGCTGAGCTGGTTTTTCATCAGCTTATCAAGCTCAATTGTCATAGGGAATAGTCAAGCCAAACCCAATGTCAGCCTATGAAAAATGCTAGGAAAAGGAGAAGAAAGGTGTAGAACTGCAACCCTAGAGAAGGGCAGACCAGCTTTTGATAAGCAGTACAGGCAATTTCCCTTGATTAGGGCAGTACAGGCATCTAGACAGTGCACTAACCTGTGGGGTGGAGAGGAAGAACCTAGTATATGTTAGGATAAATATGTAGGCAGAGCAGTGGCTACATGAAGAATAGCTTTTACAGGCTACATGGCTACTCATCACGTTGCCACTGCTCTGTCTACATATTTCAGGCTTCCTAGCCTGAAAGAAAACACCTTGAGAGTGAGCTCTAGTTACAGCTGTCTGGAAGATGATGAAGGCAAATATTTCTGTTTCATGAGTATGCATACTCATTAAACAGAGTAAACTCATTGCTCATTAGAAGAAAGAAGTCATAAAGGAAGGCAATAAGCAGAAACAAAACCAGAAATTGCTGTGGTTCACCAAAGGGTACCTGTTTGTAACTTCTGCAGTGACCTCATGCTTCATGAAGAGGTACAACAAAGCACTGGTGTGCCAGCACGTATTAAGGACGAGGAATAGGCCTCCCTTATTGTCCTTCTCTTTGGTTTGTAAAGCCTTGTCTAGGATTCAGTAGGTAACTGAGGTAGAGATGGCTCTAAGTTATGGATTCTTCCATGTTTTAAAAGTAGGATGAGTTTGTACCACCTTTATCATTACAAACAGTCCCATTGAGGTCACCTGTGGTCTCTCCAGAAAGCACACATCAGGTCATGGAGATTCAACATCTCACAGAGATGGGACAGAGACACTGACAGAGGACAAAAAGGAGGCAGGTTGAGGTGCTGAACACCAAGTCCACAGCACACCTGTGACATGTTGGGGGCAGCAGTTAGTAGCTGACGTGACACATCCTTTCAACCACTTGCTCAATTTGTCTCCAAAATAAGATCAGCTCAGCAAAAAACAACCTTGTTCTGTAAAAAACATTTCACCTCATGTGAACTTACAAAATATTGTTAGCCTGAAGACCAAATGAGGACCATAAGCAGGACAGTACATATATACATATATATAGAGGGAAGGCTGGCAAGAAAAAAATAAACAGGCTCTAATTTTCTCCTGCAATACTAAGCAGCTTTCATACTGCAGGAGACTAAAAAGGTTGAGTTACCCTGACGTCAGTACAGTCATTATTGGCTCAGGTTTTTGGCTTGTGTACAAGGCTAACATTCTTACTTTTGGGAAGGTCTTACTCTAGCACAGAAGTGGGTAAGAAACTTTAATGTGTTGTCCCTCTTTGTATCCCAATCCAAGTGTCTGAATTTCAGAACATCTGGAGACCAACCATGGTAGCACATTGTCACACTGGCAGGAAGGCTAATGAACAACCTCCTTGTAATTAAAGGTGTCCTCAGATGCTCTAAAATGAAAAACACCAGACAAAGTATGTAGTCCACATACTTGCACTACCTGGAGAGTAAAGTATTCCATATTCCTTCCTATCAAGCAATTTGACATTCTTCATGCCCATACTGACTACCGTGGAGACGTCTTGCTACAGACGACTCAGTGATTTGGGGAAATTATCTTGCAACAGGCCAATACATCTGAGTGCTAGAGAGCAAATTACAGGCTCTTAATGTTTTCCCAAATATTTTCACATATGCTCTGTTATTATTTATGTTGCATTACAGACTATCGTGAGCCATTTGACTTTAACCAGGGGTGGCTTAAATTGCACGCTGTAGTTTGGAGTGCATTCATCCAAGGCGGCATCGGCAGCAATGACACAACACGCTGTGCTCTGCCCAGTGAGCGTGCTTTCCTGAGGTCAGTGGGAGCTCAGGCTGCTCAGGACTTCACAAACTTGACTCTTTAAGGGCTCACCTCAGGGGACCTTTGACATACCTTGACCCTGTTCAGATCACCACTGTCCTAAATTCTCCCAAGGGTCTGAAACAACACACAGCACCCTCCAATCCTGTTGCACCTGATTATTAGGGACAGATTGCTGTGAAACAGAGATGGCCCTTTAAGTAAGCAGTGAATGGGAGGTGAATACTGGTGGGATAATGCACATCCCTTGATGAGTGAGAGTTGGTAGTTGTGGCACCAGGTCCAAACCAGTACTGGACCAGATGAATTTGGTGCCTCGTTGAGCTAGGCTATGTTTAACATACAAAAGCGATACATTGCCATCAGTGACATTTGGCTGGTGACACTTTCAGGAGAGTCCCCTGTCTGTCTGACTGCTCCTAGCTGGAAATACACCCACTCAAATATGTGGGGATGTAGGTATGTGTTTCCAGAAACTGCGAAAAACATCGTGAAGGGAATGGACTTCTCTTTTTATAGAGCATGTTATTAACAGAGCCTAAAATCCCAGTTGCATTTTCACCCTATTATTCAGACTGTTTTCTGTCCTGAGTTTATTATTATTCAGACTGTTTTCTGTCCCTATTATTCAGACTGCTTTCTGTCCTCAGTTTTTTGCTTACTTTTAGAAACTATTGATACTTGTTTTGAATCCCAGAAAGACCTACATTTCAGTAGTACTTGAAAACAATTCAAATACAGCTGAATTTTACAGTAAAATTCAGAAATAATTGTTTTAAATGTTTTAACTGCTAGGATTTGGTAGCAGAAGCACTATTGTTTAAGCTTTTAAGTATTTTGTTATTCTGTGGACAGTTCATAAGGCAAGAGTATATAGATCCAGGAATCTTTTACAGGTGCAGATCCTTATGGTCTAAACTCTTTGATACAAGATTCTTCTTTTCTCTTTCTGAAATGGCATCTGCTACTTCAAAAAGGTGAAACATATTGCACATGGGAATTTGCAAGCAGTATCCATACAAAGAGAATTTTGTTATTTTTACACTTTCATACCAAGCACCCAGAAAAAACCTACTTGCTTAGAGGTATGTCAGAGAAGCACTTTGATCCAATGAGTGTATTTTTCTCAAGTCGAGGTAGGAATCCAGGCAGAAAATGGGAATCTGAGGCAAAGGCTGCATATGCCACATAAAAATAGTGCCACACAATTACTCAAGTGCAACAATTCCCCCCTCTCCCTTAATTAGTATTGCACACAGCTCTGAATCACATCCCATATTAATATCTTGAAGTCACCTGAAAGACTTTTTTTTTACCTAACCATTTAACATCCCCTCTCTTTGGGTATCTCCAGTACTTTAAAATCTGAAGCATATCCTATTCTGAACTGAAATTACATATTACTGGGTACAGCTGCAAGATTACAGATCTGGTCAGTAAAAGCAGAATAAGCAAAAGTAAGTAGGCAAGGCTTAAAAAACCCAGACTGTCACACAGTTAATCCTTTTTAGCAGGTAGGCAAAAATCAAAGCATCTCATAAATATGAAGCCTAGACTGGCTAAAGAAATTCTAGCAGTTTCAACACGAGACATGCAAGAATGAGGATGCATGTTCACTTATGCTTCTATTTGACCATTTTTCTGTGGGGAGAGAGAGAAAATTAGTAAATGGTAGGTTCTCTTAGGAATACTGTAACAGTTGGTTCCTCCCCCCGGTTGGTCTACACGTTATCCCTTTATTTGACCCAAATTTGTAGCAAGTTTATATTCTATTAATATTTTTTCCCAGATTTGTTTGGCATAAAGAGGACTGATGCAAAAATGATAGGCTGGATCTCTGTAATGGAATTAATCTGAATTACAGCAGCTGGGCAACGGACTGTGAAATTGGGTTGACCTGCCCTCGGAAAACAATCCCTGACACCTCCCTCTCACCAGGGCAAAGGTGTTTGCCTGGCAGCCGTCACAGATCTGTGAGAGATCTTAATTTCGGAGCAACTTTCTGCCCCTCCATGTACACCCCAGGAGGGGAGCGGGATGAGCGGGCTTCGCCTTGTGCTCCGGGAGGGCTGCGGAGGTGGTGTCTGTGCCATCTCCAGCTGGAAGGACGCGAGTATCCCGGGACGCAGCGGCATTCCCCGAAGGCTCAGCGAGGCCGAGCGAGGCCCCGACACCCCTAACAGAACCGGGCAGCGGGCATCCTGCCCCGGGGCAGGGCCAGGCACCCGGCTGCTCCGGGAAGGGCAGGGGCGGAGGGGCCGCGGAGCTCCGGCCGCTTCCCCGCCCGCGTCCCCTCCCCCTGGCGGGGCGGGAGCGGGGCCGGGCCGGGCCGGGCCGGGGGAGGAGCAGCAGCAGCCGGAGCCGGGGCCGGATCGCGACGGCTCCAGCGGAGCCCCCGAAGTTTTCGCTGCCGGCGGAGGCGGCTCCGGGCCCTCGTCCCGCCGCTTCCGGGGCCCCGCCGGGCGGAGCGGGCCGGGCAAGGGGGCGGGAGCGGCCGCCGGCAGGGAACTGAGCCGAGCCGAACCGAACCGAGCCGCGATGAAGAAGCCGGACGGGAAGGTGGTGCTGCTGGGGGACATGAACGTGGGCAAGACCTCCCTGCTGCACCGCTACATGGAGCGGCGCTTCCAGGAGACGGTCAGCACCGTCGGCGGCGCCTTCTACCTGAAGCAGTGGGGGCAGTACAACATCTCCATCTGGGACACCGCAGGTGAGACACCCCGGCTCGGGAGCGGCACGGAGGGCATGGGGGTCCGGCACGGCGCTCCCCGAAACCCGCGGGGTGTTTGCTGGCGGGGTGCCCCTCTCCTCCGGCCCCGGGGAGAGCGGCGCTGCCCGCGGCACCCTCCGTGCCTTGGGATGCGTAGGGCTTCCTTTTCCCTAGTTTTGGCTCGGCCCTGGTGTGCGAGCTGCGGGGTGGGTGCCCTCGCTCGGGACAGCTTTGCTTTCCGAGAAGCGGGGGCAGGAGATGGAGACGTGATCCCCGCGGTGCCCCGGAGGCGGCGGCCGGCGCCGGGAGCCCTGCCCCGCTGCTTATCGCCTTGTTTCGGCTCTGCGGTGAAGTCAGCCGCCTGAATCATAGGCTTTGGCCGTAGGACAGAGTCTGAAAAGCGGCACGATTTTGACGGGCCATAAGGGGCCTTACAACTGCTCATCTCTGGTATTTTTGGAATAGCTTTGCCAAATGTGGATGTACAGGGAAGATTGCGGTGCTTGGTTGCTTTCTTTTACCCGAGTAGATGGCTACTGACTACAAGTTCAGTCAGGAATTAGAGAGGTTGCAGCTTCTCCCTTCCCTTTCGTACTGAGTTCATCCCTTCTCGTTGTGTACTGTTGAGTTTGATATCAGCTGGTGTCAGACTTCCAAACGCGTGCTGCCTGCCAGCCCTTCAGACGTGGCGTTCCCCTTCCCCGCAGCTGCCAGAAATTGGTGCACAAAGAGCACGGGCTGCCGGCAGCTTCTGTCTGGGATAGCAGCAAGGCGCTGTCTGTCCCACTGCTGTGCCTCAGCATCTCTGGGATGCAGGACTGAGCGTGGGCTGTGGTTTGGAGGCCTGGGCTGGAGGAGATGGGAGAGCATGGACCGGAGAAGCGGTTTGTGGTCTTAATCATATGAATGTCTTGCTCTTGGTTATTACGTCAGGAAGCTCTCCTCTGTCATGTAAAGGACCAGAGTGTCCTGCAAAGTTAAGTCAATGGACGCTCTTGCCTTTAAATTGTTCTTTGCAAATATAATCTTGTTCCATTGTTTTTGTAGTTGATTTCATGTTTAGCTGGAGTTTTAAAAACTATTTAGTGGCAACAGAAGAATGCAGGTTATATGTTCTTGTGAAACTTGAGGAGCTGCAGCATCATGCAATATTCCAGTTTCCTCTTGATGAAATTTCGGAGGGAAGTTCATTTGCTGTGTCACTTCATGTCACAATCTAGTCCAAAATAGCTTTTCCTGTGTCAGGAATTGAGAAGGAGGAAGGGGAGACATGAAACTGCCCAAAAGTTATACAGAAACACTTCTGGGAAGTGTGGGGAGGAGGTGTTTAAGAGCTTTTTCTTGCATTTGGTTATCTGTTACTATCATGAAAGCTCTCTACCAGTAGCTCTGTTTTAAATATACTTTCTATGTAATTTGCAGTATTTTTTTTTTAATCGACTTCAATTTTGCAGTTTATGTGTTGTACTATGGGGAGTCTCTTGTGGGCAGTTGTTTCTGGTAAGCCAGACCCCAGTGGGTGATTAGCAGTGGGCTTTATTTCAGTATTTCAGCAGAAAAACCATCTGTCTTGGTGACATTGTTCCTTGGTAATTTTCATTACACTCTTCTATTGTTTTTTAATCATACATAATAAAATAAGTCCAAGGCTTGTCTGCTGGTTTTAGAGCCCCTTTTGTCAGTCATTTATTCTTATTGTGGTATTTCATTCAGTGTTAATTGAGGAACCAGGTTCCAGTTGTGTGTGGAATCTGGAAAGCTCCAGAGGGGTATCTCCATGTGCCAGATGAAGCAGCCAGGTGATATCTGTGTCAGGACAGTGCAAGTGTTCAGAGCTCAGCAATCCCCACTGGCCACAGTTCCCTCTGCACCCTGGAGCAGGGCCACTGCCAATGCACAGCTCTGCAATAGAGGTTCCTGCTGCTCAGCAGCACTTCTGGAGCAGAGTTGCTGAAGCTCTATTTGCAGAGCAACAGTTGAAAAGTGTTGCTGTATTGTACCAGGATGGCATAACACATCTTCCTCATTCTTCTCTGTTGCTGGAGTTAGCACTGGGCCTGGCTGTCCCCTCTCTCTAGTGCTTCAGGGGCACGCAAGGGCTCTTGCACCATCTCCCTGTTAATTTGTGCTCCTGCAGAATGATGGAAGTTACCAAAACTTGGGCTAGACTGTTGGGTCCTGTGGGTTTTTGTTTATTAACAGCTCTCATTACTCTTGGAATTCAGAGAAGCTCACAGGGCACATATGTGCTTTCTGCTGTCCTGGTGAAGAAGTAAGAGACCTTGTTGACACTGTAACTCTGGTGTTAAGTCACAAGGGGATTCAAAAGCTTGTGTTATTTATTTGTTTATTTTTATTTTGTGTGGATCTTATGCTTTTGCTGGCCTCAGTGTATCTGGAGACCTTGGTTTGCACCTCTTATCTCTCTGTGGTCTCACTGTCTTATCTCTACCAGGTGGGTACCAAGTAAGCTTGGAATGTGTAGAAAAGACGAGTTTAAAATTTAGCTTTTTTGTCTGTTTATTAGCCTGATGTTGCTAACTACTGAATTCTTGGGAAGCAGTTATAGGGTTATCAAATACTGATACATTGTTTTCTTTATTATGCATGTGTAGATATATAGAGAAATCCAGCAACAAACAATCATCCAGGAGAGTTGAAATTCTTTAGCAAAGCAATGACAAGAACGTGGATCAAAGTTTGCACCCATCCCACCTACCTGAATACTGAGTGCCAGCTCAGGATGTCTGTCTTAATACCTCAACAGCACTTTATACAGTGTATGATGTAGAAATATGGAAGATTTGGCCTAGAAAACTTAGGGTATGCATGGTAGTAGCTACTGTACTAGTTCAATGCATAATTAAACTGGAATATATCTTCTTTTAAATTTTTCTCCATTCGTTTTATATTTAGTATGTGAATGTATGTTTATTTTTGTTGCTGCTTATGAACATTATTTTTGGGACTGATCTCCACAGAAGTCCCCTATGTTTTACTTGCAGTTCAGACTATATGGTTATTTGTTTTTCTGGTATGGGGTGGGCATTTGGCTGTAACAATGCAAGCTTCAATACAATGAGGCTTCATTCTTGTAATACAAAGTGGTGTTTGTGCACACTTAGACTTCAGTGATCGATGAGAATATCTGCAGTAGTGGTGATGGATCACCACAAAAGTTAAGTATGCATGGATACTAGCACAAGTGTAATTGCTGATTTTCTGAGGTATTTAAAATGTGTGTCATTTTCACTAATCACTCTGTTGATTTTGCATTACTTCCTGCTCTGAATTTAGAAAAATCTCATTTTCCTAGGAAGAACTAAATTTGCTTACCACAGTGCTTAAAATGTGCATTTCTGTGTTGTCTTTAATGAAATCAGTGTGCACACCTGACCTGTTCTACCAAGTTAGATTTGAAGTGTAAATCAGTTATTCTAGGGAGGAGTCTTAGCTGTAAATTCACACCACTCCTTATCTTGGAAAAATCAGCTGCTTAGTCTAGTCTAAATCTTTCATGTTCTTATCCACAAGCCCTGTAGAATGGGTGTGCAGGAGTTGTCAGACTTGATTGTTTTTTATGTAAATGCTCATTGAAAATAGTTCAACATCTCCCGTTTTCCAATTTGATGATTATGAGAGAAGTTATTTGGAAGTTGCATTCAAGTCAAGGAAACAAATAAGCCCCAGATGGGGGAATACTTGGGAGAAGTATCATATGCTTGCCATGTTCCAAAGCTCTCCTTTTCCTAGCTTTTGGCTGTTTCTCCATTGTGAGAGGCTTGGATAGAGAGTCTTGTGTCTGACCTAGCATGGCTGCTGTTGTATTTGTGGTTGGTGCATAGAATTATTTACTTCTTATATTCTGGTGCAACAAATTATATTTGTTGTTTTCCCTTTGGATCAGTTAATTCAAAGGAACTAAAAAAAAAAAGAACATAAACTATACAAAAAGAAGTAACTGTACACTTTTAGCATATTTTAAAGAGCTAGCTTGCTGGATAGAGGCCTAGTCTTTAAAACATTTAAGTACATGCTTTGTACTAGTTTTTTTAAGTAATATTTTTCTGCAACAAGGAAAGTAAGCAGTAAGAAGACCTTCCTCCTCACACAAAAGGATTGAGGGTTGGACACTCAGGATGTCAAAACTATATATATATATATATATATATATATATATATATATTTCTGTGTATATACATGTATGTGTATATATAAATATATTTTCTAGGCAGTGCTGACAGCAGCTGCAGAGTAATCCAAAACTTCCTGCTGGGTGCTGATGGCATGTAGCTCAGAGCTAGCATATAATCTTTTGTCTGGCAGCACAAAACCTCCTGAAGTTTTGAGGGTCTTGGTCCTATTCCACCATGGAATAATACTGGAATAATAATGTGTGGTGGCTGTAGCTAATGATATTGTAGGAGTGTTTTGGTTGTTCAGGCATGTTTGCTGATGCCTTGGTATTTCAAAAGGTAAATTTTTTCTGTATGTTAGATTTCAGCCTCTTTAAGTTGACATTTGTTCATCTGACAGAGAAGCGGTTTCTTAATCCCAGCAGCAAGGTTTCTTAATTATTAGTGGCCATGTCCCCTGTGTTGCTGGCATAGTATTAGAGCAGTCAACTGGTAAATGAATGACCAGTATTTCAGAAAGTTCACATCAGGATCCTCTAATTCTATTTTAAGAGTCAGAGTTTTGAACTTGCTAGCAGATATTCATGTAGCATTATAATGGGGGAACATAAAGGTTAACTTTAAGGAAAGCAAACTTTCCTTCTTTTCCTTCTTCTCATCTTGAACTATCTGTCAACAAGGATTGACTTGATTTTTCTTTTTTTTATTCTATAAATACTCGGGTCATATTTTTACATCTTCCAACCATTTATTTTTACCTGCATATATATAAAAATATATATATATTTAACTTGTCAGAGCTAGTATATTTAGGGACAAAGGAGATAAACAGATCAACATAGCCTGGAAAAGGCTCTTCTGTGC